AGAGATTTTATTTTGTGTGGTTGGACACTAGATTATTAACATGTAGAGTATGTGACAAACATTTGCAAATCTTGAAAATTTAATATCAAAACACCCTCCAGAAATGGGAAAATGGATGACAAACAATTGGCCATTTCTGGAGTATATTTTTATATATAGTTTGTATATCAGTTATAGCTAATAGGTATAAAAATATTTTATTTAAGCATTATTAGTACTTAGACTTACCTGACTGCATTCTCCATGTTTACCAGGATTGAGTTGTAGCTGGAAGACCTTGCTTTTTAACCATTAATGTAAACTAATAGTTTCATTACATGACTGACACTGCTTCAAATCAATCATGACAACTGAAACACAAATACACTAGCTACAAACAACATTATTATTATATTATGCTTTATCTTGACCATTTAAAACGCTATCTCAATTAAAATTCCAATTAATTTAGTTTTTGGGAAAAACAAACATAAAAATTTCTCATTCAGATAATAGTAACCAAAACAGGTAACTACAAGAACCCAAAAGCAATTTATTGTATTATATACCTGGAGGGTGTTCCAGGTATGGTTCAAAAATGTTTAGCCCAATAAAAAATAATTCACACATTCACATATACTGCATTAAACATGAAATAATTTTGCAGATATGTTATTGAAATGCAACTTTTCCCATTTAGATTAAAAGCATCATTATTTAAAATGTTTTTGCATGCAATTTTTAAAAAAAATAATTAACAAGTCTCAAATACAGTATTACCCAGACGGGATAAGTTCTTCTCCATGAAGATAATAAGAAGATCTTAAGCTTCTTAAATGTCACAAATAGCTTCCTTAATAGTGCATGACTTATAAAATTCTTGCAGAATCCCTTTGTGAATTGTAAACCTTCACACAAATGCTTTCTGCTAGTGACTTTTAATGTTGCAACTCAGTGGTCTATTGGTTGTATTAAACATTTTCAGATTCAAATTCAGTTATTTATTTATGTATACAAAAATAATGTAGTTATATATAATAAAACAGTGGTAGGTACAAAAGAAAGCCACTAGTATGCAACAAATTTCAGGCATTAATGTTTGTAGAATACTGACAGTATGTTAAGTGAAAGGACATAAGTGCAACTAATGCAACATTAGTTGCATTTGTGTCCTTTTACTTTACATTTCAGGGAAACTAATTGTTGTATTAAGAAATAAGACTTTGACAAAAATATTGCTGTTACATAAATTGTCAGGATTAGAATGAGCATTGCTTTTGTCTAGCAACAAATATAAGCCTTATACTGTATATGGTGTTCTAGCAGCAATTCCATATTAGACCAGTCAGCCTCTTTTTCTTATTCTTCTTATACATATGTAGAAACCTGGGATTCTCTATCACAAGCAAAAGTTCTGCTTGTGTTAGAGAATCTCATCTGCTGTTAATTTATGCCTAGTTACTAAATAAACAAATATTATCTTGTAACTATCAAACCTTGTTCATCTGCCAAGCTTCTTTCACCAATAATTATCCTCCCTGTATTACTGTGACACAATTTAAATGAATCATGGTAAATATTAGGAAATATGAATAGTTTAGTAATGTTTATTTTCTTTATAATTCTTGAACCTTTCCATAGTCATCCAAGCATATACCACAGTCCCATACATTTTTGTTGATACCACAGCCAATGCTTATTATGTAGTTCATGCATTCTCAACTTGCAGCATGAAATCAGAATAAATCCCTTTCAGTGTACATTGACACACAGTAGCATACCAGAACAATAAACAAACAAAACAAATAAACAGACAAACTAACAAAATTTGTTTCTTTGTAAGATTACATTGAGATATGAAATTACAATAATGAGTTGCAGTGCAGAGAGAGCCACTATCATGCCATGGCATTATGGGGAGACTTAATATAATGGCTTACAGACTACTTAATACTAAAGAAATTGATCATAGTTTGTTTAAGTTGTATACATCTTTTTTATATTTATAGTTGACAGTAATTTTACTCTAATTACAATAGTGTCAAAAATAAATATTGAAATTATATTATGGGAATATAACATTGTGAGTTGGTGAAAGTAGTTTACAGTATGAGAATGCTACAATTGGGTGTAAGGCAGTATTGTGTTGGGTAATAGGTAATTGGGAGATTTTTGGTAAAGTTTAATATTGAATATTGAGTATTTAGTTTAGGGTGAGTAGGTGGCTTTTGAGAAGAGCCTTAAATTGGTGTTCAGACCTGGTTACTTTAGTATTTACTGGTAATGAATTCCAAATTTTGGGGCCCTTTATGTGCATAGTTTTTACACTTAATAAGAGACACAAGATTTTATGTGGATTTTAAGGCATTTCCATAGCCAATCTTTGACAGTGAAGCATAAATTAAATGCCAGCACTCAAGTTAACCCTTTCAGGGTCCGTGCTGTAGATCTACAGCTTTATGTTCAGTGTCCAAACCATAGATCTATGCCATGAGCTCAGCTCACTCTGATAAGCTGTGAGCAGTAAATTTGGGCCTAGATATGAGAGAATACATCTATGAGGTATGTGTGCATCACATAAAACAACTCCTGCAGCACACAGTGTATAATGAGAAAAAAAAAACTGAGACTGTAATGTTTAATTAAAACATCGACTTTGCAGTGTTTTTGCGTATGTTTTTTATGGTTGTATTTGCAATTTCTTGGTCTCATTTGATAGAATGGAAGATATACTACAGAAATAGAGGTGATTTTGATTGGTGTAAGTAATGGAAATGGCTTGAAACTGAGCTCAAAGTAGTAGAAATGTTAATTTTTGCCGATGTTCAAGAGTAAACAAATGATCTCACAAGTCTAATACATGATAGCTGGTGGGTCTAATATACATTCACAAATGTGGTGATATTATTTATACAATTATTACAGTATTGCATAACAGTAAATCTTCTATTTTTTGGTTTGAATAAAAATTTATTATGTGAATAAAAAATCAAAATGGAATTCATTTGTAAAGCCTGAAAACATAACTAATGAACAGAGGAAATGCTAGTTTAGTGCCAGAATGCCTGCATTGTTTATCCTGGACCCTATTTTGAAATTGGAATATTTTGAACTTTGCATTAAATTGGCCAAATTACCAATTTCCGGTCACTTTATTTTGTTGTTGAAGCAGTTGATTTGGTGATTTCTTGTGCTCAATCGATAGAATAGAAGTAATACTAGTGAAATAGCTAAGAATTTGGTTGATTGGAATACTGTAATTGCCCTAAATTGGGAGTCAAAGTCGGCAAAATCGCTGATGCGTAAATATCGCTGACACATCAAAATTCACAAGAGCATAATTTGTCAGTTTTCCATCAAATTTTGTACTTTTTGTTTTATTACCTTCAGAGAAAGATTCTCTACCATTTCATAAGAAAAAATAACAAAATTATTTTTTGAAAATACTTGGACCCAGGTATGCACTTTGAAATTTGGCCTCTGGACCTTGAAAGGGTTAAAATATTTTTTTTATTAAGATCCATGGATTAATTTTGCATGAAAAATTTGCTTAACCCTTGACTGTCGCAACCCCCAATCCTGAAGTGTCTCCTGGTGTCGCAAAATTTAAAAAAAAAAAAAAAAAAAAAAAAATTCTTATGAAATGATAAGAGAATCTTTTCCCGATTGTAATGACACCAAAAACACTAAATTTGATGGAAAACTGACAGAATTACGCTCTCGCGAAGTTAGCAACCTCGGCGATATTTACAAATCGGCGATTTCGCCTACTTTGAGCCCTAGTTTCACCTAATTCCATTGTTCCAGTCAACCAAACTCGTAACTACTTTTTTAGAAATCCGTTTTTTCTATAGATTGAGTACAAGAAACTGCCCATTTACCAATTTCAACTACCCAATAACGTGGTCAGAAATTTGCAATTTGACCAATTTCACAAAAAGTAAAAAATATGACAATTTCAAAATAAGATCCACAATGAACAATGCAGACATTCCTGGCTCTAAAATAACATTTTCTTTGTTCATTAGTCACATCTCCAAGCCCCTCTGATATTACTCTTGCTTTCTATTTTGAATTTTTATTCAAACAGTAAATCTTCTATTTTTTTATAGAAGATTTACTGTTATGCAGACTACTGCAATACTGTAATAATTGTATAAATAACATCAACTCATTCATGACTGCATATTAGAATGGCTAGTTGGACATTTATTGGACAATGACATCATTTGTTTACTTTCACACATCGGCAAAAATCAAATACTTCCCCTAATTTGAGCTCCATTTCCAGGTTCTTTTTATAGTAAAATCAATCAAAATCACATCTATTTCTCTAATATGTTTTCTATTCTATCAAATGAGACCAAGAAAACGAGAATACAACCATAAATACTATACGAAAATAGACCACAGAGTCAGCATTTTAATTAAAAAAAATGGTGCCTCTAGAATTTATGAGTATATATACGTCAAACACGGTACCTCGTAAGACGTATATATACGACCTCGACAGTCAAAGGGTTAATTCAAAAGGCTCCTGGTTTCAGTGGTGTTTGATTGTTATTGATTTACTATATTGTATGTACTGTACAGTATATGGTTCCAAAAGGATGCTAGAAAATACTTCTCATATAGTCCTAGACTACTGGAATGGGATCCAGGAGTAGGTAATACATGCTACAAAAACTGGAACTTTAGATAGTTATATGCAACTAACACAAGACAGAGCATGTCTTTGCTCATACACTACAAGCACTGCAGAAAGAACACTTGAAGCATAGCTCTGCTCTTTTAATTACAAAAAGGCAATCTTGCATGCATACTGTATATAAGTTACTAACTTATTAACCATTAGTGTGAAAATCTTTAAAGATTAAATTTTCTGCATTAATAATTTTTTTAACAATTCAGTTTCACCTTTGTATAGTACTTATTAGGTAAAAAGGTCCATTAGAATCTTTTAAATCTAATTTAACTGATGTATATTGCATAAATAATTTTTTTTATTTTTTCTTCCACAGCAAAGCCTTGTAAGTGCAGTTTCATATGATTTGCATGGACAGTGGTATCAAAACTTGGCTAACTACAAAGGCACAATGGTGTGCTTAAAGACGATTTCCTTAAATCAGAAGCGACCAGAGCTCAGCCGAAACAACATGAAAGAAATGAGGTTAGTTTGTTTTGCGTAAAAATTATCTGGATCCTTTTATTCCGTCATGACAGGTAACATGTTACACATATTTCACCTGATTTGCTGACTTCTGTTTAGGGGTTCTGGATGTTCAGGTAAATATTAGTTGTCCACTTCTTCAATTCAGTGTTTTGTTTTTTCTTTTCAGAAGATATTCCTTGATATTTTCATTAATACAATACCTGTACGAGAGTATAGTGGTATGAACACTCTCGTATGGGTGTGAAGCATGGGTTGTAAATGCTGCACCGAGGAGGAGGCAGGAGAGATGTCATGTCTAAGGGCAGTGTGTGGTGTAAATATTATGCAGAAAATTTGTAGTGTGGAAATTAGGAGGAGGTGTGGAGTCACTCTTCAAAGGGCTGAAGAGGGGTTGTTAAGGTGGTTTGGTCATTTAGAGAGGCTGGAGCAAAATAGGATGACTTGGAGGGTATATAAATCTGTAGTGGAGGGGGAGGAAGGGTAGGGGTCATCCTAGGAAAGGATGGAGGGATAGGGTAAAAGAGGTTTTATGTGCAAGGGGCTTGGACATGTAGCAGGAATGTTTGAGTGTTAGATAGGAGTGAATGGAGATGAATGGTTTTTGGGACCTGATGAGCTGTTGGAGTGTGAGCAGGGTAATATTTTGTGAAGGGATTCAGGGAAACTGGTTAGCCGGACTTGAGTCCTGGAGGAGGGAAGTACAGTGTCTACACTTTAAAGAGGGGTTTGGAATATTGGCTGTTTGGAGTGACCTTAAGTTAATTGGGTTTTCTTAAATAGTTTCAAACTGGCTCTATGACTTCATGCTATGGAACAATTATAAGAGATGGTGAAGAAACAGGAAGTAGTTGGATAAGCTGGTTTTGTTTGGTATAGCATAGTGTAGGTTTAGTTACATTAGGGAGATGAGTTGATTTTTAATGACAGTGGACCCCCGGTTATTATAATTAATCCATTCCAGAGAGTGTGAGTAAAACTAACTTTGATGATATCCGAATTCATTTTCTCGAAATAATGTAAATCCAATTAATCCATTCCAGACACCCAAAAGTATTAAAAAAAATAATTTTTTTACGTGAAATATACATTTACCTACACAGAAAACAATGAGACATGAAGAATAAACAGTAATAACATGACACTTACCTTTATTGAAGACTTGTTGATGTATGGAAGACAGGAGGAGGGGAGAGGATGGAAGAGTTACTATTGTTTGTAAGGGGAATCCCCTTCCATGAAGACTTCAGGTACTAAGTCCTTTTCTGGGGTTACTTCCTTTCTTTTTATTTTTTAATGCCACTAGGACCAGCTTGAAAGTTACTGGACCCCTGTCGCTCAAAAAATTGTTCCATTGTGTCTTGTGTTTCTTTAAAATTTCCCTAAAATGGGACATGACATTGTCATTGTACATGTTGCCAACATGGCCTGCAACAGCTTTGTCAGGGTGATGTTCATCCATAAATGTTTGCACCTCACTCCACTTTGCAAAAATGTCCTTAATCATTGAAGATAGCACCTTCTTCCATCTCTCTTCCTCCTCCTCAGGAGCAATTTCCTGAGCTGTAGTCTGTTGCTGTTGCAGATGAAGGTCTTGTAGCTCTTCAGTGGTTAGCTCTTCCCTGTGGTCCTCCACCAACTCTTCCACATCCTCGCCACTCACCTCCAACCCCATGGAATTCCCCAATGCCTCAATACTTTCCACAGCTGCCATAGGCTCGTCAGGGTCAGCCCCAAACTCTTCAGAATCCCTCTCTTGGACACATTCTGGCCACAGTTTTCTCCAAACAGAGTTCAAAAGTCCAGGAAGTCACTCCCTGCCAAGCCTTACCTATAAGGTTTATGCAATGGAGGATACTAAAGTGATCTTTCCAGAACTCTCTTAGGGTCAGTTCAGTGTCCGAGGTTATGTCAAAGCACCTTTGAAACATTGCTTTGGTGTAGAGTGTTTTGAAGTTTGAAATGACCTGCTGATCTATGGACTGGAGGAGAGGAGTGGTATTAGGGGGCAAGAACTTCACTGTGATGTAACGAAACTCCTCCACAATTTGCTCATCCAGGTCTGGAGGATGAGCAGGAACATTGTCCAGTACCAGGAGGCACTTGATTTCCAATTTATTTTCCAGGAGGTATTTCTTCACACTGGGGCCAAACACATCATTGAACCAATCAAGGAAATTTCCCTCGTGACCCATGACTTACTGTTTGCCTTCCACATCACACACAATTTACTCTTGATGACATTGTTTTTCTTGAACACTGGGATTTTCAGAGTAATACACCAATAAAGGCTTCACTTTGAAATCCCCACTAGCATTACTACAGAACATGAGAGTTAACTTGTCTTTCATAGGCTTGTGTCCTGGGAGTGCCTTTTCCTCCTGTGTGATGCAGGTCCTCTTTGGCATTTTCTTCCAAAAGAGGCCTCTTTTGTCACAATTGAACACTTTTTGGGGTTTGAATTGTTCAGCCTCTATGTACCCCTTGAATTTCTGAACATATTTTTCAGCCTCAAAAAGGTTGGAGGGAGGGGGTAAAGGAGGTGTTGTGGGCGAGGGGTTTGGACTTCCAGAAAGCGTGCGTGAGCGTGTTAGATAGGAGTGAATGGAGACAAATAGTATTTGGGACCTGACGATCTGTTGGAGTGTGAGCAGGGTAATATTTAGTGAAGGGATTCAGGGAAACCGGTTATTTTATATAACCGGACTTGGGAAGTACAATGCCTGCATTCTAAAGGAGGGGTTTGGGATATTGGCAGTTTGGAGATATATATTGTGTATTTTTATATGTATATACTTCTAAACTGTTGTATTCTGGGCACCTCTGCAAAAACAGTGATTATGTGTGAGTGAGGTGAAAGTGTTGAATGATGATGAAAGTATTTTCTTTTTGGGGATTTTCTTTCTCTTTGGGTCACCCTGCCTCGGTGGGAGACGGTCGACTTGTTGAAAAAAAAAAAAAAAAATTCAGCCGCATATTTGTCAGAACTTGCAGCCTCACCATGCCAATACGCTTCTTAACCCTTTCAGGGTCCAAGGCCCAAATCTGGAGTCACGCACCAGTGTCCAAGAATTTTCAAAAAAAAACTTTGTTATTTTTTCTTATGAAATGTAGAGAATCTTTTTGTGAAGGTAATAAAACAAAAAGTACGAAATTTGGTGGAAAATTGACGAAATTATGCTCTCGCGAATTTTGATGTGTCAGCGATATTTACGAATCGGCGATTTTGCCGACTTTGACTCCCATTTTAAGCCAATTACATTATTCCAATCAACCAAATTCTTAGCTATTTCACTAGTATTACTACTATTCTATCGATTGAGCACAAGAAATCGCCAAGTCAATTGTTTCAACTACAAAATAAAGTGATCGGAAATTGTTAATTTGGCCAATTTAACACAAAGTTTAAAATATTCCAATTTCAAAATAGGGTCCAGAATGAACAATGTAGGCATTCCTGGCACTAAACTAACATTTCCTCTGTTCATTAGTTATGTTTTGAGGCTTTACAAATAAATTCCATTTTGATTTTTTATTCACATAATGAATTTTTATTCACACCAAAAAATAGAAGATTTACTGTTATGCAATACTGTAATAATTGTATAAATATCATCACCATATTTGTGAATGTATATTAGACCCACCAGCTGACGTGTATTAGACGTGTGAGGTCATTTGTTTACTCTTGAATATCGGCAAAAATTTAACATTTCTGCTACTTTGAGCTCAGTTTCAAGCCATTTCCAGTGCTAAAACCAATCAAAATCATCTATATTTCTGTAATATGTCTTCCATTCTATCAATGAGACCAAGAAATCGCAAATACAACTATAAAAAACATACGAAAAAACACTGCAAAGTTGCTGTTTTAATCGAAAAATCATGATTTCATTTTTTCTCTCATTATACACAGTGTGGTGCAGGATCTGTTTTATGTGGTGCACACATACCACATAGATGTATTCTCTCATATCTAGGCCCAAATGTACCACTCACAGTTTATCAGAGTGAGCTGAGCTCATGGCGTAGATCTACGGTTTGGACCCTGAACGTAAAGCCATAGATCTATGGGACGGACCCTGAAAGGGTTAAATCTCTCAAACCAGCCTTTGCTGTTCTTAAATTAACTGACGTCAGCACTAGTTCCAGGCATTTTCTTTATGAGATCATCATGCAATTGCTTTGCCTTTTCACAAATTATCAGCTACATAACGCTTTCTCATGCTAACTTTTTCATTGATCCACACCAACAACAACGTCTCCACATCTCTGAGTATTTGCGATTCACAAAATTGTAATGGCACGATTGCAAACAAACCATACTATCATGGGTTCTAACCCTGCCTGTGAAATGGTTTGTATTTGCGATCTCTGTTTTGTAAGCATATTTGCACCTTTTGCAGCAACAGCTTCCTTGATTTCCTTTTTCTTGGCCACGATGGAAGAGATGGTTGTATGGGGTGTCTTATACAACCTGGCAAGCTCTGCCACACGTACTCCACTTTCATATTTTGCAGTGATGTCTTTCTTGAATTCTAGAGTGTTTCTCACCTTCTTTACCAAAGGGCTGGCACTAGAAGCTTTCTTTGGGGACATGGTGTCTTATTTAGTAGTTGCAAGCACAAAAAAGAATGGAATATTATGAAATGTATCACATAAACGAGTGGGGTGATGGTCACTCGCTCATAAACAATAGCGGACTGAATGTGAATGGTGTGTGGGGCCACTCGGGGCTGCTTGGGGCCGCTTGTACGCATTTGGGACGAATGACTATTACTGAGGTAAATGATGATCACTGAGCCAATATTATTATTTTTATTTTTTATTATCACACTGGCCGATTCCCACCAAGGCAGGGTGGCCCGAAAAAGAAAAACTTTCACCATCATTCACTCCATCACTGTCTTGCCAGAAGGGTGCTTTACACTACAGTTTAAACTGCAACATTAACACCCCTCCTTCAGGGTGCAGGCACTGTACTTCCCATCTCCAGGACT